CTCACAAAGAAGCAATTACAGATTGCTCCATTACCCCCAGGATATGCCCAAATTACTCCATTGTTTAAGATCAAGTACCATCTTAAGAACCACTGGCTTAGCTGGAGAAAATGTGCCACATTCCCTGTTTAAGTATCCTTGTGTATACTAAGACAGTGAAATGCCTCTGTGAAATAATGCTTAAAATAAAACTTCACCAGCTATAAATGCTGTACAGACTTTTTGTTAGGTCTATATTATATCAGACTAAGACTCTCATAATGGCTAAATCATAGTCTGATTAAATTAGATTTTATTAATTTTGATCAACGGCCATCTTAAAAGTAATAGTTGCATTTGTTTTAAAGTAGTTTGCTTAGTTTTGGCTTTGCGTGAGTTATGAACCCAATCAAGCAGCTTGTAAACCATGCTGTATGGTTTTTAGTATTTTGTAAGAACCTAGCCAATTCATTTAAGAAGATATAATTGAACAAATGATGTGATTTTAAATAAAGTGTCACTCAGCCATTATCTTAAGAATTTAAATCCCAGGCAGAGAGATAACTGTCAAAGTGCAAGATTTAAAAAATGTTGCTTATAATTTTCCCCAAGTTACAGATTTCTTAAAAGAATTGCCAAACATGTTCCTTTTGTAATATGGAATGAGACTTGCTGTCCAATCTTGTCAATGGTTGCTCAGAAATAAAACCCCTGCATTTAATGGAGCCTAGTCTTAAGTAAGTTACAGCTGGTCCCAGTATGTAGTTGACTTGAATGATCTTGAAAAACTAAACAGGAGTAGTAAACAACAAGAGACTGCCAAGAATCCCAAGATCTTGGCCTAAATGGGAAAAAATCACAAAGATGCCCACGTAGTCACCAGGATTCAGGTTTGTCGAGGGAGATTTTGCCTTTATTTTTAATCTTAAGGAATGGTTCATTGAATGGCATACAGTACATATGTATGAATTACTTTGTTCCTTTTCATTAAAACAAGTGATTTTTAAAAGTTTGTTTTTTTCCAAACTGATAGAATCTATCATGATGTTAAAACTCACTTTCTTCCTAGCCGTTTTATCTATCTTTCAATTCTGTTTGGGGAGGGGTATGGATTATTTTATATTTGCTTCTTCATTGATAGTGGTTAATAAGCAAATCGATGAGGCTTGTAAAATTAGGCTGTCAGTTACCATCTGTTGTGAAGCAGTGATACAGTGTAACATGTCAAACCTTGCTATAGATATTGTTTGGGGAACAAATGTCTAGAATTTTCCTGTCTGCTGCTCTAATGTTACATTCTGTTACCCTCAAGTGTCACCTTCAAGCACAGGCACATTAGTCTAACTGTGTGTGGAAACTGACATTGTAACCACAATTTTACTAGCCCAGAAACTTTGATCGTTTTAGATATCCTGTCCAGGAATAATTGAAAAACCTTTTTTCAACTAGAGTGGGGCAGATACAAATTGTGTCAGTGCAGTATTTTTTTGGTTGTGTTCAGTTGCTGATTAGGTCCTAAAATTCTGATGAGATATAGAGTATGAATATTTATGAGACAGTCCAGTTGTCATGACAATTAATTATGTGAAAAAGATAGAATAGATTAATAGAACAAGAAAAATATCTCAGTGGTAAACAGAATAATGTTAATAAGGCCTCATATCAAGGGAGAGGGGAAGGGGAATTTCCCAAATGTAATAATTGGTGAAATAGTAAGAGTAATATTATATATTTTGGTAGATTGCTTTTCATCGTACAAAATTATACGATTGGTCAAATTTTAATAGTCTATACCTGCGTGTTCGTGGTGATGGTAGACCATGGATGATAAACATCAGTCCAAACAAATACGACTCTACCCGGATGAAGGATGTTTACAACTACTTCATATTCCCCCGAGGGGGGCCATATTGGGAGGAAATCCAGGTAACAATGACTTTTTTTGATACCATTATAGATAGTATGTGATTCTGATATTTAAAAAATAGGCAAACTAAGAATCTTTGATTTGCCAGTTATATTTTGAGAAAGCAGTAAGAAAAACTGCTAAAATAATTGACATTGCTTAAGTGAAATCAATATATTTTATATAGAAACAGTTTGTTCAGAAGTACGTTTTTGAAACATGAAAAAAAAAAAGGGTTATCTTCTAATGTGATTTTTTTCCTCTAGCTTGGATTTTTTTAAAAAAAAAAGGGTTATCTTCTAATGTGATTTTTTTCCTCTAGCTTGGATTTTTTTAAAAAAAAAAGGGTTATCTTCTAATGTGATTTTTTTCCTCTAGCTTGGATTTTTTTAAAAAAAAAAGGGTTATCTTCTAATGTGATTTTTTTCCTCTAGCTTGGATTTTTTTAAGAGTTTGAGAATGGCAAATTGCCACCCACCCATGATAGGTAACAGTTCCTTCTAGGCTGATAGTTCTGCTATTCCAGTTGCTGTAATACTTTTGGCTTGGAAATATTTTGCTTTCTTAAGAAAACTATTCTAGCATACAATTGCCTACACAACTCTAGTCAATTGAGACAATTTACTAGTCAAAAAGCAGTGAAAATGGCTGTATATAAGAAGGTGAGAATTGGTTATGTCAGAAGAAACATAAAAAATGGGTTGACTGTTGTAGAGATGGGTTACTTAAGAAGTGTGTGTGGTAAAACGAGAGTCAAGAATGAAAGAATGTCAAATGAATGTATGTTGAATAGAAATATGAGTGATCATAACAAAAGATGTATGTTGATGTGGTTTGATCAAAAAACAAAACAAATGTATGAAGGAAAAATGAATGTGTTGAAAGGAAGAGGAAGACCAGAAAAATTCTGGTTTTTAGAACTGATGAAATCCTGAAAAGGAGCTGCGAAGATGAATCTCTGTACTGATAGAGTGGAAGCAAGATGGTTTGTAAGGATAGAAATGTCTGGAGAGGTATAATGAATGATGTAAACCAGATTTAGTTAGATTTCATTTTCTCATTGTTTATCTTGCAAGTAACAATTTCATTAATAAGAATAGAAAAAATAAAGTTATATGGCTTGTTAATCTGAATATGGAAATTAATGTTTGTAAGTTCTACAAACAAAATGAAAATGATGAACAGTGTGAAAATATTGGCAAATACCTAAATACATTTGTTTTTAACTAATCTGTAAATTCTTAACAACAGGTTCCATTTTCTAAGTTCTTTTTTTCAAGCCAAGGGAGAATCCAGGATGGCCAATATGAAATCTGGCCAGACAGGGTAAGTGTTTTTAAAACCAGCTATTTCAAGGTGCAAATCTAAGCTTTATGATCAAAATCCAAAATTATTTCATTCACTGAATTTGATTTATATCCTACCTTTTTGCTCTGTAGGTGTCAAAGTAGCTAACAAAACTTTAAAATAAAAAAAGTTTTAAAAACTAATTAAAAATAATGTATATGAATGATTAAACCCACTATATCAATTGTAAGAGGTTAGCCACTTGGGGAAGAAATGTTTCTATAGATTTCCTAAATAATTCCAAGAGGGTGCATTCCACAACATAGGAACACAGGAAAAGGCCCTCTTCCACATGCCAGAATACTGACTCCCTGACATTGAGAATATATTCAAGAAGGCCTCCCCTATTGTTCTTAATAATGTGACAAGTACATAATAAGAGAGGCAGTCCCTTAGATAGTCTGGCCCTAAGCTGCTTAGAGCTTTAAAGGTCAATATCCACAGCATAAATTTTGCCTTGTAAGCAATTCACAACCAGTTCAGGCATCAAATGATTCTGTGTGAAAGTGAAAATGACTTCACTAAATCGCATACCAGTGATAATCTACTACTGACTGCTGCCCTGAGATGAAGATCTGTCTTATTCTTTGCATGAATCGAATTGCAAAGTATGATTTTAAATTTGGAGGGGAGTTACTTTATAAATCTCAGCATTTAGAATCAAGTGCAAAATAGTTGCTCAAGAAAACAGACATGGAATATCTCCAAGTTTTATGCTCATTTTTTCAGTACAGATAGTCCTTAATGACTACTCATTCAGTGACTGTTCGAAGTTACAACAGCACTAAACAAGTGGTGGTTATGACCGATCCTCAAAGTTCTGGCCATCCCAGCAGCCCTGTGTTCATGTGATCATGATCTGGGTGCTTGGCAACCGGCTTGCACTTACAACAGTTGCAGTATCCTGCGGTCATGTGATAGTGATTTGCAACCTTCTCTGCCAGCTTCCCACAACAGAGAAGCTGGCAGGGAAGGTTGCAAGTTGCTCAGGTAAGGCTCCC